GCTGGCAATGCATGCCCAGGTGAGCTCTAGGGGCTATCTTTGCAGGAATAAACTATCCAATCATTTATAAAACATTGATTAAAAAATAGCTAACATTCCAGATGGATGTATAATTTCCCCTGTTCCCTACGTGTCTGCCACATGAGCACGGCTACCTATCTTACAAACAACTAACAAAACTGGTTAGAGGCTTCCAGAGCTCCAAAAATTAACTCTGGATGAAGCAAACCCAAAGTAAGCACAAAAAGGACTTAACACACTCGGGCTATATTAAAAAAAAAAAAAAAAAAGTAAAAATGGACTAGTTAAGTCTTGAATCATAATTTTCTTTTAAACCATATGTACCCCAATACAGTGCTGCAACTGAGATATATCCATGGCAACATGAAAACACACATAGGGGCTCTCTCTATTTAATAGCTTTGTAACGCTTAATGTTTGAAATTATAGAGCAGGTCAATGTTTAAAATTATGAGGAAGTTCAATACATAAAACCCAAACAAAAGAATATCCTAAACTAACCTAAATATCCACAGCCCCTTCTTACACCCCAATAGTTTAAATGTTTTTTATCAATCCATTAAATTTGTATTTCACATAGTTTCTCTTCAAAGCAATTGATCGTAACACAGTGCCTCTGCCAGTACTTTATAATGTGTGAAAGCAGCAGCCTGGGCTGAATTTTATCTCTAATTCAACTCTTTTCTGAATGAGCAGCTGACACAAGGAAGGCTTACTGTCAGTATCTAGGAGACATTTTGACTTTGGAAACCATTTTCTCTCTGCCAGACACTTGGTTCCAGCTGGCTGAGACACAATTTGATTCTCCTGTCTAGCAGCAAGGACAGGGGTCTGCCAAGCTGGACAGTCCCTGTGTTGAGGTCCTGACCAGGGAGGGGACACTTGCCAGTCCCTCAGAGCTGCTCTGTGCCTTCCCCTGCTGCCTGACAGAGCAGCCCTGCTCCTCACACTTGTGTGTGCAAGGAACCTGGTGTAGATGCTCAAGCTGGATCTGGATTCCAGGGGAGCTGCATGGGCAGTGTGAGCCATGGCTACAATTCCACACATCCAAATCTGCATCCCTGTCAGGGCATGCTGCAGATGCCTTCTGCCAGTACAAGCAGGTGTCCTTCCCAAGAAAACCAGGGTGTAGGATGAAAGGAGCTGGTGCACTGCAGGGTCTCACCCACCTGGGCCACAGCACAGCTGGAGCACACACCCAGACCTGAGCAGTGCTGCTGGATCCTGCACAAGAAAGGAAACTCATCCCTTCCAGTGATTTTTTGCATTTACCTACCTGCCTTTCTTTAGGTGTAGCTCCTGTCCTCTGTAGTACACAGGCTCCTGGTCTAGAAGCTCTCACCCCTCCAGAGCTGAGCACTGCTTCTGACTTCCCAACTCCCAGTGGGTTCAGCACTGCCACATCAACTGTCCCAGCTACTCAAACCACCTCCTCTCTCCTGCTCAAAGCCTGCCTGATCTGCATGTGAAGCTCCAAGTCAGATGCTGGAACTCTCCACAAAATCCTTACTTTCTGTTCTGCTTCAGCTACATTTCCAAACCTCATGCCCCACAAAAATGGTTCTCCTCCACACCATTAGCCTCACGGATGACCTTCATCCTGAACTGGGGAGGGCTGTGCTAAGGCCACCATCAGTCAAAGAGGGATTTCATACACCCCATTCCCTCAGCTTTCATTATGAGCTGCACCCAGGTGCACCACAAGCTGCCTACAAGGCAGGTGCCCACAGCCATCATGGATCCTGTTATTAACCTACATGCCCTTGCCACTTGGCACTTCAGTCCTCAGCAGTTTGGTTCCTTCTGACATGTTCCAACAGGAATATCAGCATTCCAAACAGCTGATTCCAGCCAAAACCAAATGTATGGCAGATCCTCAGAACAGCTCAGATTTGTGTCCACAAGATTTGTGTCAGAAACAGGCATTCTAGAAATGTGCCCACAAAGAGTGCATGACTGACTTTTACCTCCTCTTACTCTACTGCTCCATAACTGAAATGTAGGATAGACATTTGCATAAGTTAAACCAACAATTATTCTGATAATAACTGCAGTTTAAAAATCCTTAAACTTCACTGACATTGCTGGGGACCTCAGTGGAGCGAAGACAGTGGCACCCAGCCAGCAGGAAGGCCAGCAACATTACCATGCTGAGATCAAAAGAGTTATTAACCCTGAGTCCTTGATCTGCTGAGTGCACTTTGGCTATTTCAAAGCCCCACTGCAACTTCCTGGCAAAAAAAGCTCCGCATTTGCTCAGAGCATCTTCTTTTGTACATGCAGCTGAGGAATGAAAAGGGTATTGGAACCCTGAAGTCTACATCCACCTCTTTGGAGAGACACATGGACATGAAATATCTGAAACTCCACCACCCTCGTTTTCTGGAAGCACTCAGATGTGATCCTGTCTCTTGCTCTGTTGCTTTCCTGCCTCCACTGGCTGCCTGCTTCTGCACATGAAGAGATCATCTGCACCCAGATTCACAGCTCAGAACCCCGTCCAGACACACTGCAGGTCTACCAGGCAAAGGAATCCTGGAAGATAAGGAGAGTCTTCTCACCCTATGTCCACAAAGTAGACAGCAAAGAAGAGCCATGGCAGGAAGGGAAATATTGTATAAGTAGAAGTATACTCTGTATTTTCCAAAAGCAGAGTCATTTTTCCAGACTAAAAAGGTGAAACACTGGAAGCCAGAGGTGTTGTTACCACTGCCCAAAAGCAGCCACGGCTCTCAGCACATCTGTAAATTTCCTTTTAGGCTCCTTTGATATTACCCACCCATAGTAACTTAAATGAAACACCTCAAGAATTTTTGTTTGTAGATTTAAACGATCATTAGGCTGTTTTCCCCTTCCAGAGGAAAACGTCACATTTCCCTTAAGCTTGGTCATTTATCAGCTCTTCTCCTTTTTCTGTAGGACAGCTATTCTCTTAAAGATGTGGTTCTCAGCTTCAGACAAAATGGATGATGTGTCTGTTTGAAATAGGATTGTTTACTTTGTCAATGCCCCTGGGATCAATTTCATTTTTTTTCTGCCTCCTCCTATAGCGAACATCTTGCCAAGTGCAGTATTCATATCCCTGAATGAGCTATCGAGATCTATTTTTTTTTGACAGAAATCATGCTGCAACCCAAACTGATCAGAATCTCTCACTATTTCAGAAGCACACATGGGTATGAATAATATAGAATCTTATCTGGCACAATTTCAGCATTTCTCTTATAATTTCTCTTTCATGTAATCTACTGGCTTGAGAAAATTACACACTTGTAGTTTTAAGACCAAAAATAAAAAGCAGCACACGTTCCTCCTGGCTGGTAGCTCATACATGTCTGAGCACACACTCACAGGCACGAAATACAGGAGCAGCACTGCAACATCCCCATCGCACTGAATCCACCCTGAGCAGCTTCACTAAACCAGACAACTCACACAGGCAGGATCTGCCCATAAGCTGCTGGAGAATGAGGTTTTAATTGGAGATTTATTTAATTCAGAGATAAGTACTTGTGTTGTATTAAGAGCAGCTTATTAACATTCAATCATGAACATTCACTAAGCGTGAATAAATAAAATTCAGCGCAAAAACAGTTTTTTAAGCGCTGGAAGAGGAAGCATTCACCTAAACTATCACCTTGCTCAGGGCAGGAGGGGGCTGGACACCAGGGAATGAAATGCTGTCCCAGGCATTGTGCTGGGTTCTCATACTTGAGCGTGTCTCACTATCAATCATTCCTGAAGCAACAGCGCTGAGACTTCCCAAAGCTCCCGTTATTGTCTTGTACGCTCCTCGGCATTCCAGCCAAATCTGAAGTGCAAATAAATCATCGGCAAAATTTTTAGATAAAAATTTTTTAAACTACATCTGTTGGAGGAGACAATCCTCTGCCTGCCACCCCTGCATGATGCTGATGACAAGTCTAGGTTAATCACACAGATGATGAATTGATTCTTACGTCAACTCCTTTAAAAACAACATCGTTACAGGTGTAGCAGCTGGCGGGCTGATGTATTCCTGCTGGCATCTGCACATCTTGGGATGAGCCACTAGACAAAGGAGCATGCCGGCATTTTGAGGGATGCAACCATGACAGTCAGCGTTAAAATACGCCTTAGTTACCAACTTTTTATTATTTGCCACTCACAAGACTCACAGGTTCAGTCCCTAGTACAGTGTGCACTGGGAAAAACGCCCCTCAATTAGCAGGGATCCGCCGGGAATGGACAGAGGGCTCTCAGACCGACCGCTCTCCATCCACTCCCGCGCACGCCCTCCCTCCCTCTCTCCTACCCACGCAGCGGCGGTGCTGCCCTCTACTCCCCGCACCTTCCCCAGCTCCCACCACCCTTCCTCGCCCCTTCAACCCAATGCCTTTCCTACTTTTCCCTGCCAGTGCCCCTCTTTTATAAGCTTGGTCGCATTTTATGACCACCACCAACTGTCTGAGGCCAGAAAGATCTTTCTGATGCCGGCAAAAAAAAAAAAAATCACTGCATCCATTCTGAAAGGCTTATTGTTTTGGGATTTACTCTGCCCTCATTTAAACGGAATCCCATTATTCGTCTCTCCAAAAGCAGCACGGTGTACGGCGCTAACAACCCCCGGGAACAATCAGCCCGAGAGTTGATGGTGTATAAATCAGAGCGGACACACCACCCGGCAGGATGGACGCCTCCTCCCTGAGCTCTGCCCTTCATTCTCACAGAGGAGGATGGAGCGGGAGCCGCTCCATTTGCAAATAACCCGTGTTTCCTATCGATCGGCAGCCGGAGCGTGTTCCACCGCTGGAGCACATTCCCAGTTTTAACCTCCACAGGCACCCGCATCCAGCGGTCCCCAGCATCCCTCGGACACCCGCACGGATGAACCCCCGGCGGGCTCGGGGATGGCGCTGACACGGAGCACACCCACCCTCGCCTGCCCAGACACACAGCCCCGGGAACCACCGCCCCCGGTGCTCCCCGGCCCCCCGTACCCGCGTCCTCCTCGTCGAAGCTGTTCATGCAGGGGAAGTAGATGGCCAGGGCCTCGAAGGAGGCGGAGAGGCTGAGGCGGCTCTGCGACCGCTCCATGAAGAGCCCGGCTCCGGGGGCGCCGCCGGGGGTCTCGCCCGCGGCCGCGGGCGGCTTGGCGAGCTTGGCCGCCCCATTCTTCACTCGGAGCACGGCCCGCGGCGTCTTGGCGGCGGCGGGGCCGCGCTGAGGCGGCGGGGAGAGGAGAGGCAGGCGAGGCGAGGCGAGGCGAGGCGAGGCAGGCGGGAGCGCGGAGCGGCGCGGAGCGGAGCGCAGCCACCTGCTGCCGCCCGGCCGGCCCTGCGCGCCGCCCGCCCCCGCCCCGCCGCAGCGCCGCCAATCGCGAACCGGGGGCGGGACGGGCCCGGCGCGGCCGCGCTGCCCCCGCCCTGAGCGGCCCCGGTCCCCTCAGCCCCGAGCGGCCCCGGCTCAGCGATTCCCCCGCCTTGAGCGGCCCCGGTCCCCTCAGCCCCGAGCGGCCCCGGCTCAGCGATCCCCCCGCCTTGAGCGGCCCCGGCTCCCTCAGCCCCGAGCGGCCCCGGCTCCGCGATCCCCCTGGCCCGGGCGGCCCCGGCTCCCCGCTGTCCCCGACCCGGGCTGCTCCGGCTCCCTCAGCCCCAAGTGGCCCCGGCTCCGCGATCCCGCTGGCCCGGGCGGCCCCGGCTCTGCGCTGCGCCTGCCCTGAGCCCGGCCCGGGGCAGCCCCGGTTGTGTTCTCGCCTTCCCCGGGCCGGGAAGGTCCTTCGCATTGGGATAACGCAGGTGTAGATTTGCTTGTGAATTGATCTGGAAAAGTGAAATTGACAGAAATTGATTTCTTTCTGAAATAGACAGAAATTGATTTATTTCTGAAATAGACAGGAATTTATTTATTTAATTATTTACTTATTTCTGAAATAGACAGAAATTTATTTATTTATTTATTTATGAAATAGACAGAAATTCATTCATATTTTTTGAAATAGACAGAATTTTGTTTATTTATTTGTTTCTGAAATAGTCAGGAATTTATTTATTTATTTATTTCTGAAATAGACATAAGTTTATTTATTTCTCATTTATTCACCGAGAAAGTGTAATTGACAGAGGGGAAGATGCAGGAGGAAGAGCGTGGTCCTGCCTTTGATCTCACTGAGTGCGACGGCAGAAAACAACCTTGAAGGTTTCTTCCGAAAGCGAGGGGATATAAGTGACCCTGGTGTGAATGGAGGAGCAGCCTGGCTCCCAGCCTTCTCCCATGTACCTCTCTTTAGACACACAAAAAACCCCTTCCCAAAATATAAAAGGCGCTATTTGGTTGTATACAAGCTCCCAGGCAGAAAGCACACAAGCCGGGAGGTTTTCCTTGGTGTGTTACATTAAATAGGAAGGCTGGTGCCTGTTGTGGCTCAGCATTGAGCCCATTCTGCAGCACCCTGGGATAGAAGCTGCTGTGCTCTGTGAAATGAGCGAATTTTAGATCCTTCCCCATGTCTCATTTTTTTCCAACAAGCTTTGTGGAGAATTAGTGGCTCAAGGCTGCCAGCTGTCCACAGGTGCTGCCTATGGCAGAGGCATCACAGCATCTCCCAGTCCTGCCTTGGGGAAGGAAAGCAGTATAGCCTTATTTATTCAGTGCAACAAAACCCTGGGATGCTATTAGACAGAGTGTTTTAGTGGTCTGCATAAAAAGGTTGCTGTTCCCTCAGGGAACAAAGGAAGATGTTCCTCGTGCTTGGTCTGTCCCCCCATCCTGATAACTAAATGTCATCCCACTGAGATGACAGGCCTGCTTGTCCTACTCCAAAAATGCATATTGAGAGTTCAATATCTCCCTTAGGAAAAGTGTGGCTAAACAGCCTGTATTCTCCATTCTCAAACAGTTAATTCATCAATCCATTAAAAGTTTTCTGTCTACTGAAAATCCTACCAGAGCTGTATGGTATTTGTGGCTGCCAGTGCCCAGAAGCAGCAGGAGCAGGGCTGCTCCCAGGGAAGGGGTGCCAGGGACAAACCTATGGCCAGGCACAGTCCCCTGCCATGGGAGGCAGAGCAGGAGGGGATGGCAGTGCCTCCGGTCAACAGACCAGCTCCAAAGTCATCCATGGAAAGCCAAACATCAGTTCAGGATCAGGTCTGAGACAGTCTCACCTACAGCCTAGGCAAGAGCTAGAAGCCCCACAGGCTTGGAGATTAAATGGAGCTCCTGACAGAGAGGGTAAATGTGAGGCCAAATGAAGGTTTTTGGGGTAATTACAGCCAACTGTACTCAGCCCTGACATCCAGGTTCTTCATTACTGGTGATGCATCCAGAATGGCAGAGGTCATATGAATATCTGATGCCAAAATGAGTTTGCAGGACTTTCTAAAAGAAAATATGTTATTTAATTCAAAAACTAATCAAAACTTGCTCTGGAGTTGGTGAGTTATGTGAATTACTTCATCAAAGCTAGGCTAGGCAGGCAGTAAAGCAGAAGGAACAGAATGAACTTATTACAGACAATGATATCTCCAGGTCTGAGTTTTGAAAGGCAAAGGAATCAGTGAGGAATGTATTACCATATGTTTAAGAAGAGATTTCAATAGCACCAATCAAGGCATTAAGAGCAGCTACAGGCACAAATTTAGGTGCATTAAAACTGTTAAGACAGCTCCTGTCTACCAGTCCTGCCAGCACATTTGATCAGAGGAGCAAGAGGCATCTGTGAATCAAAATTTGCTTCCAGGTTGCCAGAAGTTACCTAAAAGTGCTGACAACTGTTTGTTTTTTTTTTTTCATTTAAGACTGCAATAAAAAATTTAAATGTGGAATAGAAGTTTAATCTCAGCTTTATGCTGTGTCCATCTAAATTGCTTGTTTCACTACATCCTGGAAGCACAGAGATGGCAGACACAGGCATGGAGAGTTAATCTCTGTCTCCAACACTCTGTTTCCTTCACCAGCATAATAGGACTGAACACCCTTCTGCTTTTAGTGCTTTGAGACCTCCTTTTGAGGTGCTGAGGAGAAGCATCACCATCCCCACCCACCTCTGTGCACCTTTCTCCGTGCTCATCCATCTGCCAGCTTCCTCCAGAGACACAGTCTGAACCCCTTGCACTTGCACAGCACCACTGGGTCACACTCTCTAAGTGCTCCTTTAGTGCATTTTTCCAGGCTGTCTTCCACCTCCCTCTCTTCTATATCTGTGGGACCAGGCATGCTCAAGTCATTCCCTGCTCCTGTCTGCCCCAGAGTGGCTTGGGCTGAGTGCTCTAAACATCATCCCTTAGCTTTGGTGTCATCTGCTTCTCATTTCACTGCTACATTTTGCTCCTCAGAGCCAGGGCAAATATGTGTCCTGCAGGGCTCTTTGATTATTGGCTGGGCCAAAACTTCCTAAACCAAAACCATCTGCCTTAAAGTGAGCCAAAATGCACTGACAGCTGGAAATGGGATGGACAGTTAAAGGAGTTATGCCCTCCGGATGCCTGGAGGAAGCTGTTTATTTTGGCTGCCTGTTAAAGGGAAACCGGGATTTGCAATGAAGCTGGAAATTGTTAATCTCTAAGAGTTCTTCTTCATTGATCGACATGGACAGCAAGATCCTTGGGAGGGACTTGCAGAAGTGAGGATAAACAGGGGGGAAGATTCCTGTGATGCTGTAAATAAGCTGAGAGTGCAGGCGAGAACAAATAAACTCCAAGATTTACTGCCTCCAGAGCAGCACGTCTGTGGCTGCCCCAGTGGAAGTGCTTAATTGATTGTTTCCCCAGTGAAGCAGGCTCTGACTGATTGAACCATGGAAAGCTCTGATAGATTTTTCCTGCTGGCTCTTTCTCTTCCCACTAGTCACGTAGCTTGTATTTTTGCCTTTACTCTTAGGTGTCTAGGTCAGCCTAGGAAGTTCATTTTTATACTGAAGCAAGAGGATATGCTGCTCTCTCCCTCTTGTACTCCCTATGGCTTTGTGTATGCCTGTTTGGAAATAAAACCAAACTCTCTGATTTGTGTATGTTTGCTCTTTCTGCTCTCTCTGCCCACTGCTTGCTCAAAAAATAGTCTACATGCTGGGAGCTCAAATGCAGCACAGAAACAAGCCCTGCTAGTGAAAACACATGCATAAATCTGCTCAGAGTAAATGCAGCATTCCTCAGGGTGAGGAGGGTTGGGCTCCTCCCTGTCTCGTGCTACCCCTTCCCTGCTCTGAGCAAAGCTGATGCTGGAGCCAGGCAGCACACAATGTTCTCCAGCACCCAAAAACAAACACAGACTTGACCATCCCTGCTCTTCAGGGCTCTAATTGATTCCACTTAGGAGTTCCTCTTGGCCCTTCTGGGCAGGCTGGGGGGCAGGAGGTGAGATGTGCTGAGCATGGATACCCCGAACCAGGGACGGAACACCAGAGAAGGGCCCGGAGTGCCATGGCATGGCATCAGTGCAAGGGGATGCCCAGAGTTACTGGCTCAGGTGCCACAGCTTCACTGGGCTTGGTTGTTGTATACTTACATAACAATACATATTTTAACTTATTTATTCTTTCTTGCTCTGTGTGTAGAGGGAATACTGCAGGCTGATGGCTCAAAGAACCAGGCACAGTATAAATACAGAGTGAAAGCCTTTATAAATACAGAGTGAAAGCCTTGCTCTTCCCCAAGTGCTCACTGTTCAAGAAGCCAAGACAAAGAACAGAAGGAAATATAAATTTTTTTAAATTCAAATTCAGGGTACAAAGCATGTGAGTTTTGGTTGGCTTGCCCAACACTGTATAAGGAAAATCTCTGCTGGAGCTAGGAACTGACTGTAGATTTCCTGCCATAACCTCAAAACTACCTCCTGCTTTTCACTAATAGAAGCAATGTTCTAACCTTAGCAAAATTAAATTATAAGCCAGACAGGTTTTTACAACATCCTTTGTTGGCTGGGATCCAGGCAAGCCAGGAGTGCTCTGGTTTGTCACAGCTGAACCACATAATGCCCTAAAGAGCAGCCAGGCTGCTACCTGCGTGGAGCCTTTCACAATGCTGACAGCCCATCTAAGAGCACAGATCCTGTTGTTTTAGTCACATCTCTCTCACGCCCTCTCTAGCTATCAAAAACAAGCCCACAAAGGTGCTAAGTGACTGGTGAGGCAGAGCCCAGAGGATGAGTAATGAGAGGCTGAGCCGTCAGCCTCGAGTCCCTTGCTGGCCCTGCTGCTTCTCACGTTTGTCTAGCCAGGGTTTTCCTGAGGCAAGAGAGCTCAAGGCTGCACAGCACGTGCTCTGCTCTGTTCTTACTGTT